GTGATCCCCGCGTATGAGTCATAGATCAGCAGTTCCCGATCGTTCTGGAAAGCCGAGAGTGTTCTGGTACAGAGCTGGCTTTATATAAATAGCGCGAGTTTGTCGACGGAAGATAAGATTCAATTTAAGTGTTTGATAGTAAAGACAAATTGTAATAAATAAATTAGAATTGTGTTATAAATAAATTGTAAATAAATAAATTAAACAAACGATACATTAACTTTGTGAGCCATGAACACTCATGTCAAATGGATCATCTAATTAAATATGTGTATTAGCCAGAAAAACCTATTATTATATAACAAAAAAAAAGTACGATCATTTTTTTTAACCGATATTTTTTACAACTTTCAGTTGTTTGACATCTCCTTTGTAGGGGTACTAAATTAAATCCTTGCAATCGACAATTCCTGCTGATTTCGCCAACCACTTCACACAGTTTCAGCCAGAGGTACGGCCTCTAGCTCTTAGACTATAACTGAAAGAGACTTTTCAATTTTTTTAACAAATTATTAAGCAGCGTCGTCTAGGCCGTCTAGGGGAACATGCTAATGCATTTAGGACCGATTCCACCGTTGTGTTAAACGAAGTTTAAATTACTAAGCGAAGTTTAAAATGACATTTTTACATTAACAATGTAATTTTTCAATAAATTTTTCAACTTACCCCTACAAAATATTGAGAACTATTTTTGAACCCCCTATTTGAACCGCTCCATGTTAAACGGGCATAAGTTCATGTATTAACAATTTGAGGAAACAAATAACTGGGAGTCAAATATTAATAATTACTGCGATACAAGCTATAATGATAATTCAGCAATTCAGTTTTTTTTCACAATTAGATTTTTTGATGTTAGAAAATCTAATAAGGTATCATTTTTACTGTAGCACATAGAGGGCGCTACGTAAGCTATCTTGGTTTAACATAATCCGTATTAATATTTGAGCTTCAATTATAAAGCAAAAAATTTATGTTTTCCACTATAGAATCTGCAGATTGAAATATTTTCCATTGCTTATGAATCACCCTGTATTAAGAACTAACATTGTTTTTAACTACTCCCAAATTTAAAGCATGACCAGTAGCGTAGCTTGACACAGGGATGTTTCCGTGCAAGATATTGTACATAATATATGAAAAATTAAAAAAAAAATATTTTCTTAAAAACTTAAAATAAATAACAGGAACATATTCGCAAGTTTAATAAAAACTAAAAATAAATAGTAAAATAAAATAGACCAAAAACCATAAGAAAAGGAACATCTGGAAGTCTGACAGAAATAAAAAATTAATTAGGGGAGCATGGAATATATTGGGGCATTTTTTCAATTAGTCCATATTGTATTTTGAAAATCGCATAAAAAATTCGACCCCGGCCCACCCTGTAGCTGATATGGAGGGGGTGTCACCCTCACAAAATGAAGTGACAAGTATTTCAAGAAAACTACTGGATAATATTTTTCCAAAAATTTGTTTGAACCTGAACTGTCATAGTTCGGAGTGGGCACTAGCATTTAAAAATGGTTACAGAGGAAATTAAAATCTTATATTTGGCATATTTATAATAGACCCGATTTACAACGTTTCTATATAAAAATCGTATCCCCACTGTTCCCTAGGGGAAGATGGAGGGGGTGGCATCTCAAAAAAAAAATTATTTAAAACTTTTTAAATTAAACAGTGGAAATCAACGATTTTTTCCACATATTTTCCCCAAATTTTAATTTTTTTTATCTTTGGACTGAAAAATTTTTTTGGTCTGATTCGTCATAGTTTGGAGGGAACATTTTTGTCGAAAAAATTTGAAATTTTGGGTATGTATGTAGAAAATATTTCAACTATTTCACATAAAAAGTTGTAACATCTAGGGGATGGTGGGGGTAAGATTTTTATACAGCAATGTAAATCTTTAAATGTACCCAAATTGAATTTCTTATCTCTTCTGTAAGTATTTTCCCCCACATCTGAACTGTGATAGATCAGGTCGAAAATATTTGTATAATTTTATATAAATAATTTATAATTTTGAGTTTGTGTATAGAAGATATCGTAGATTCCAATTGTTTTATTGAAAAAATTGTAACTTTATTTTTAAGGGTGACACAGCTAATGGATGGAGCGAATTTTTTTATGCGATTTTTATACTAAATGAGAAAACAGTGATATACCAAGTTTGGCCTCAATATCTCTACACGAACTGCTCTAGCCCCAAAAGCCTAACCCCAGCCATTTGTTTTTTACCTACAAAATGTTTAAGGTACACTATGGGACAGCAATTTAATTCATGTCAAAATTACAAACGAAAGATGAAACAATTTTACAAAAAAACTTCAAAATACCTAAATATTATATTTACTAAAATCAAAATCAAAAAAATGTATATCCCTCTCTGTTCCACCATGGTAGTTTACAAGCTATGTCTTCTCTTTCTAATATATCTTCATCTTTTGTTTTAGAGAAGAAAAATTGCTACATTTTCAAACTTTAACACGTCCCATTATATAGTACCTGAGCGCGTTCCAAAAAAAAAAACATTTTTTTTTTCGAAAACCTGTTACAAGATATTTTTTTACTAGATACATATATTATCTTAAAAACAGATTAAACTCAATCCCAGGTATTATTATTATTATTATTATTATATTTAGTCTTGATTTTAATTTAAAACGCCTCTAGACAGTTTTATAAAAGCACAGAAAGTAAAAAAAATCACACACCAAATCATCAAGAGGAAAAGATTTCGCCATATTGCGGTGTCGAGTGTCGATAAATGTGAAATCTGTGATGTTGGTCATAATTTGGATGGCATAAAAGGAACACTGTATATCTACTGTTCAACGGAAGGCGCTAAATGGCTTTGTCCCACTATATACCATTTCCCCTTTCAATTTTTAAAGGAACAACATTCAGTAGAAATAAAAATAGAATCTCCATTGAGAACGTTTTGTAATTTTGCTATATTTTTAGACATTTAAAAACATGAATTTTTAAAATTATTACGGATTTGAATACAATAAAATAATTATATAATTATCAGAGCCCCTGCGGGGCCCCAAATATCTCCGGGGTCTGTGATAGCTACGCCACTGAACATGACTGAAAGGGGACAATAAAAAAAATATATTGATCCTGAAAATATTAATAAGAAGTGAATGAAGAAAGTGAATTTTTTTCCATGCAAATTGTTTAATTGAACTGATACTACACGGGGTATTCCGAACTATTCTTTAATGATGTTACAATATTTGTACAGGGTGTTCTATCAATCATTAAAAGGGGGGGGGGGGTTGACAAAATTTTGCTATTTGGGTCCTTTCTGTCGAGATATTTAGGTCTAAAAATGAAAAAAAATTTGTTTTTTTTTTCTTTTCTTTAGCATGAAACCTGTTAATAACCTCTCTTTTTATTTCTTACAGAACTTTTTTTAAGCCAATTATAAGTAGTACACGTTATTTATAAACTTATAATTCTTGAAATTTTTCTGTATATTTAACAGTTTACATATGAGCAAATAAAAATAATTTATCTTGATGTTGTAATACGAGAGAACCCGTTTAAAAAAAGAGACCCAAATTGCAAAATTTTATAAGAAACCCCCCTTCTAAATGGTTAGTAGAACGAGAACTTCTATTAAAATATTGGAATATCATTATGGAACACAATATACAGGATGTTTCAAAAAGATTGGTCATAAATTATACCACATGTTCTTGGGTCAAAAATAGGTCGATTAAACCGTACTTACCTATATACCTACAAAAGTGCACCCAAAAATAGTTAGAGGGAGTATAAGATAAAAATTTAAATGAATATTTTTAACGTTGCTCTTAAATCGTGGCATTTTTTCTAGAAATTTTATATGACGTGTTAGAATACCATGACTAATAATACCGAGGAAGAGGCAAATATTTTTTTCTTGAGTTTTATAGGTTTTTGGAGGGGGTCACCGCTCTTTTCTCCACTAAACTTTTTTGTAGTATAAAATTTAATTACAAATGAAACGCCACTGGAATCCAACATCCATTTGAAAACTTTTTTGTCTCTTAGTCTTTGTTTGTAAAAAGTTTAGTTTAGACGATACAGCCATTTGAAATGACAACAATATCCAATGGAAATTCTATGTCTGAAAAATATCAAAAGTTTATTTTTAAATTACAAACTAATGTCGTCAAAATAAAAAAAAAATTAATTTAACAGGTGTTCAAAATTACATTCTCCTCATGTATACATTTACTACATAGTTTTAACAATGAAAATCGAATTTTGATATTTTTGCATACATAATTTACATTGAATATTTTTAAGATGTCATTTTAAGTGGCTGTATCGTCTAAACCAAACATTTTACAAACAAATACTAAGAGACAAAAAAGTTTCCAAATAGATGTTGCATTTCAGTAGCGTTTGATTTTTAAAAGTCGAGTAGAGAAAGCGGCAGTGACACCATCCAAAATCCTACGAAAATAAAAAAAAATATAGTTCCTCTACCTTGATTTTGTTAGTTATGGTATTCCAACACGTCATATAAAATTTCATGAAAAAATGTCAAACGTTTAAGAGCAATGTTAAAAAAATTAATTTAAATTTTTATCTTATACACCCTGTAACTATTTTTGGGTGCACTTTTGTATATAGGTAAGTACGGTTTAATCGACCTATTTTTGACCCAAGAATACGTGGTATAATTTATGACCAATCTTTTTGAAACACCCTGTATAATACAATAAAATTTTGTAAATTAGTTAAACAGAATTAGAAAAAATATTTTTATCTCATTTTTGCATTTAACAAAATAAAAATTTTTGACTTTAAAAAATAATGTAAAAGGACCGAATTTTTTTGTTTTATTATCAAAGAAAGCTTCCTAGTATATATTTCAAGAATAGGATAATAGATAAAACTTAAAACGATTATTACCCTAGAAAACTTTAAAATTATCGAGCTCAATGATTGAGAAACAGAAGTATTTTAGAAATGCATAAAAAAAATACACTTACTTGTATCAATAGTCCTCAATCCATTTGATGTAAGTTTTTGTTGACTGCTCGCATCAATATCTGGCATATTCAAATTGGATACCTGTGGGTCATTAGCTCCAAAATAATTGATATTTTCCTTACTATACATCTGTTTGAGATAATTCAAAATCTCAACTTCATCAGGATTGTCAGCATTTTTCCAACATTGGGGACATCTTTCTTTAGTAGGAAACTGAACTTTTGGGTACACTGGATCTTCAGTAGCATCTCCTGCTAATCGTTTATTGACTTCATTGTGAGCCCTCCACAGCCACAGTACAGATTCTTCCCAAGACATTACTTTAAACAGTTCTCTTTTTTCAGCCATTTGTTGAAAATGCATACTGCAATCCTCGCAGCCAAAAAAGTGTTTTATATATCCATGCATTGCTTCAAGAATAATTCTAGGATTCGAATCTTTTGTTGTTTTTGGATCAAATGCAGCATTAACTGTCATATAATGAAATAATTTCCACAAACCACAGGGATAACCTCTTTTGGTAGGGGTGCTTCCTCTACAGCCCAGCCATTGAGGAGGCCCTAAGAAAATATCTGTATTTTGTTCTTCAGTCTCTTTTACCTTATGAGCTATATCAGTTCCATTTGCCTTATCAGTTGAATTAACATAATGTCTTAGTTGTTTCAGTAAACATTTACCTTTTGATCCAAATGGGAAATACTTATATAACACATCAATATACTTTCTAAGTGCATCTAATTTTTCTCCTGTTATTTCCGAATTTCCAGCAATTTCTCTTCTTAAAGAGTAACGTAAAGCATTTTCTAAATCTAATTGGTATACAACATCACCATTTTCTTTAATTTTTTCTCTTAATTCTGTTTCTTCTTTAGTAAGAGTAACTGGTCTTGACTCAATCTCTGAGACAGATACATTTCTTAGAACTTCATAAGGAACTTCAATATCTTTTGCGAGCAAAATATCACGAATGACATTCCTGATTCCTATTCTATCTGCTACATTTACTTTTAAAGGATCTAACTTACCACTTGTGTCTACTTGGAATAAGGCAGGTACTGTATCAGTACTTATTGAAGTATCATTATCATAAACATATCTAATAACAGCTTCCTTTACTTTATGAAAATCCAATATAATTGAGGGTCCTATAGGATCAGAAGGTTCTTGTACAATCAAAAATCCCAATTTTTGTTTTTTATCGAATATTTTAGATACATCTGAATTATTAAAAGGTTGCATATTTGGTAACATCTTTCCTCTGCCTTCAGCTTGTTCTAGTCTCAAAATATCCACTAGATTTTTTCTATGTTCTGAATAATTTGTGTGTGAATCCGCTAGTATTGGCAAACCTGTGTTATTCTGATCTTCAACATACCCTTCATGGATGAATCTAAATGTTGGGTACCTTGTTATTCCAAAATATTCACAAACTGGTCCATTTTTTTCATTGGCACAATCCAAAGCTGCAGGAACTACTAAATCACTCCATCCCCTAATATCAGAAGCAAATGCTTTATATTTCGGAGCTGCCCTTTGACAATATCCACACCAATTGCTGTAAAATTCAACCATCCATGCTTTTTTGCTTCCATAAATACTAGTATTAAAATTGTCGATTGTTAATATATGCACATCATCATGAGGAGAGTATAATCCAGGTTCAGTATTAACTCTATAATAATTAAGCACTGCACTTGAAGAAAAATGAATGAAAACTAGTAGTACTGCGAGAGACAGCTTAAGATTATTCTCAAACATTATTCTCATGATGTTTAGCTTGATATTTTAAACTTATAACTGAACTGAGTATCCTACTGGTTTGCTACAATTTTCAAAACTTCATATCTCTCAAGGTAATTGCGCTGCTTTGGTGGAGTGTTACCGAGTACTTATCGCATTTCATTTGGTTTTCCTTCTCATAATTGCTTGTGAATTGAATTGAGGTTCACCTTGACACTTTCTTGACTATGACCTTTAACATTTTACATATTCTATAAAATTGTACAAGAAAAATTCATTGATATCTTTTTACCTGTATGAACCTGGCCACAAATATTCAATAGTACTTCTTTGTAACTGAAATTAAAAAATGATCAACTTTTATTTGAGTTCCTTTTCATGTTGATGTTTTTAAAGCCGGTGTTTTTAATGGAATAAATATGAAACAAAAATTTTTAATGTCAAAATTGATTATACACTGCCTGTATTAATTCAACCTATAAATAAAATAAATAATGTTTTAAAAGGGTATTTAATCTAAAGATATTATTCTTTCGTACCTTATTTATAATGAGGTTATAAAATATTGCACGAATAAAAACAAAAATTATCTGGAATTTTAAATATATTTGTTTACTATTTGTTAAACTGATTAACGAGTAAGAAGGAGTGAGATGCGAGATGTGCTGAATGAGATTGAGTGAGATGTACTAATGTAATAAAAAGGAATGAATTTAACCTGCATATTCAAAAGAACGACTTTCTTTCTGATAATTTTTTATAACCCCACTATTAATTTTTCTAGTCAACAATAGATGGCACCACTATAACTAATTTGAAATTATTTTCAAATCCACTTTTATTTTATTCCAAAATACGGGGGGAAATACTTTAGACACTCGTTATAAAAAGTATACAAAATTTACGTACTTCCTGTGTTATAAAATACCGGATGTTTCAAAAAATCAACGTTAGCGGGATTTTATCAAATTATTTCACTCAAGTCATTTACTAAACAAAAGTTTCACAATAATGTTTAATCCCTATTACCTGGGAAACTAAAACCAGCAGGTATCGTCAAATTAGGTGTATCCCAAGTAAACCACAAATAGTCGGCATTCGCTCGGCCTGACACCGGCATGTACGGGAAGCCGAGTACTCGGATTGCCGTTGACGGCGTTTCTTCTGAGCTGGGAGGACCGTTATGTTATGTTGAGAATGGGGTGTTAATACACTGCGACCTAAAAGATCTATTGTGCCCCCTTCTGTCGCCACTGCACTAAGGAAATGTCTCAATGCCTATAGCGACCCTTCCAATCCTATTTTCTCAAGGAAGTGTAGGATTTGAAGTGGCTTCTATTTGATATCCTCCTAGATATAGTGCCCTTGGATTCTGGAGTGCTGCACATTCAGCTAGGATGTAAATGGAGGTTTCGTCCTCCTCCTCACAGAATCTGCACTCACTATCATCTATTACTCTCAGTTTACTTAGGTGTCCTTTTAGTCAGTCGGCAATGCCCGGTAAGGATCCCTGTTACAATACGCCCAAGTAACAATTTGATATTTTATAAAAGCTGAAAAAATGTTTACAGAACAAAATTTATAAAATAGAATATTAGCTAAGAACATTTCCGGAACATTCTTTCAACAGTAATAAAAACAAAATGGGCGCAGTATTACAGAACTATTTGGTTCTTTTGTAAATTCTATAAGATTTGTTGAATGCAGTTACCGAACAGTTACTACACATTTACACAGACTTTAAACAAATGTTTTTTTAAACTTTTATAACTGTTTTATAAATTTTTAATTTTGAGGTTAGGTTGCATATCAAAATCAGTAACATTTTAGTTTTTTAAATGTGTCTGGTGAAAACAAATTAATTCTATATTTGTCATAAAAGTAAATTCAAGGCGATATTAGTAAAATGGCAGTATCTACTTAAGAGATATCTATAACGCGGTTTAAACATAATGTATGACCTACAATAAAGTCGTTTTTGGATGCGCAGCAAGAATTACTGTTAATTATATAGCACATACAATACTAAATTTTTAAGCGCCTCGAGTTTGATTCATATTTCTAATACTTTTTCAGTGTGAAACAAAAATTAAATTTATGCAATTTGATTTTTTTTAGTAATAAGATTATGCTAATATTACTAATGATTAAAATCTTTAATTTACATTGGTTTTGTCTTAAATACTAGTAAAACCGACAGTAGATTTAGCTTTAAAACTGTCTTAGGTTTTTGTTAAATATGGCGGCTATTCAGAGGTATTAGAAAGTTATTTTAAGACTGAATCATAATTATAAAATATTATTGTAGTAAAAACAGCTGTAATACAATAATTAAGTTATATTACTTATTTCTACAAAACAACTTCATCATGGTTTGTTGTATAATTGTTTCATATTTCTGCACTATATGACAAAATATAACATAACCTTACTAAATCGTTTCCGATTTGTTTCTACAGCTTTATAGAGCAAGCATAATTTTTAATATTACGATAATAAGCAAGTTTAACATGGACATCGCCAAAAATATGGCCTTCTTTTAGTATTGGGGCATGATTATTCAGAACATACCTAATTATTATCTGGCTGAATGATAGTTTTTTTTTTTGAGTGTCTAGACAAACCATCAAAATGTTTTACTAATATTTTTTACTGTTCTCTGAAAAGCAGGTACCACTTATTTTTTACATTTCTTCACTATTTAATTTTGACATTTTCAGACTATACACTCACATACAATTGGTATGGAAAGTAGTTGAACAAACATAAAATACAAAAATAATATGGCGTAGGTACTACCAAATGTAGTTGCTTTATTTTTTTATAAATATTTTTAAAGGGATAATACTATTCTTAACTAAAATAATTGTTATACAGTTTTTTGATTTGTAATAGTATATTTCGACAATATATTACAGTTATTTTAGAGTTTTCATCAGAAGCAAATTGCTATTGATGCGGAATTATCTCACACTAATATTTATATAACTATTTTTTAAAGCGTTATTATGAGGTTAAGAAACAGTTATATTTGTATGACCAAAAAGTTCTAAAGGTAATCCAGAACAATAATATAGAATAACTATAAAGCAATTTTATTTTATAAGCTGAAATATTGTATAGAACAGTTGTATAAATGTTTATGTAACAATTTCGTAGTTATCGTGAAAACAATTTTATAATTTTGCTGTAAGAATATTGTAAAAACTAATTTATATAACTATTTAGTTTCAGAGAACAAAATAGTGATTTCTGCAACTGTAGTACAATAAATTAGCATTCCAGAAACAGCAATATAATATCAATAAAATATAATAGTCTTGTAAACTAAAAATTATAAAGCTACTTTGTTAGTTGGGCGTAGCCTGTTCTTGCTCAGACAGATGTAGGCTTCCAATCTTTTCTGGTTATATTCATCCAGAAGTATCTTGGCCTGTCTCAGTCCCAAGAGATTGTTCCAATTATCGGTTCTTCTACTGCCCAATTCTTTTTTAATCTCTCCTAATATTATGTTACTGCTGATACCGCAGAACGGCTCAGGTCCTACAAAGGGTGTTTGAGCCCCTTTCCTTGCAAGACTATCTGCAATTTCGTTACTCTGTTCCCCGTTATGTCCCCAGGGCCGCCGAGAGCCAGTTCGGGCCCCGGGACAATTCTCTACATCGGGCCCTGTGACCAAAACTTTTCGTTTTCTAAAAAAAAAAAAAAGGTCGTCCTTTTCTCCGTACCTCCATTACTTCTTCTTCTAAAAAAAAAAGAAAACCTCTACCTCCTTCATCCAACTTTCAATCACATCACTTCCCCTTTCTCTTGTTATATCGAATTTCTCATGCGGAAACAGAAAACCCTATTGTCGGGCCCCTTATAGCGCTGCCGGGCCCCCATTTGAACCCGGGCCCCGGGAATTAGTCCCGGCTACCCTCCCTCTAGTCGGGCCTGTATGTCCCAGGACCCAAGTGAGAGTAACTCTATTTTTCTCGCCTAGCTCATTCAATTGTTCTAGGCATCTCCAGACCATTTTTGAGCTGATTGCGTAAGAGCTCAGCGCTTTGATGTCTGCTTAACTATCGGAAATGATGATAATCTCTTGTCTATGATAGTTTCTCTCGATGTTAAACCGGATACACTTCTCGATGGCGTGAATTTCCGCCTGGAAGATGCTTGGGTATTTTCCCAAGCTTTCGGAGTGCTTGGTTCTCGGCCCATACACTCCTATTCCAGTTCCTTCTATGGTTTTGGAACCGTCCGTATACCACTGAATAGCACGTCTTTCGGTTGCAAGCACGATGGATTCTTGGCTCCATTCTTTCTTGTAGCCCAGCTCTGTGGTTTTAAAGTTTTTCACAAAACTGTACTTCTTTTAAATTATTCATCCTGGGGCATGTCCCAGGTATCTTTAGTCCTGAAGCAAGTAGACTTTCGTCTGATTACTCCGTTCCTGATCATTCTATATCGTGTCCTTTTTGCCACATTATCATCAAATGTAGAGGGGTGAGGTTTAAGATCACCTCCATTGCGGCCGTAGGACAGGTTCTCATTGCACCAGTAACATAGATAAATTAATATTAATTTATCTATGACCAGTAATGCAAACACAGGCTAGTCTTTGTACTTTTGAGATATTAGCTCTCGTAGTAGCTAAACTAGTTCTGTTACTCCAGGCTATAGCCCCGTAAATGATGATTGGTCTCCTTATTGCAGTATACATCTGTTAGATTTGGGTTTGAAAATCCACATCCGATGCATTTTTTACATCTCGAGCGTTTTTTTATTCACATCGGACACATCTGTCCCATTACATTTACGTATTCGCTCCGTGCGAAGTCATGGAAAGGGAAGCAAAAGCGATACTAGCGCTAGCTGCGGATAATTCGTGCATTTTAGGGGGATATTTTGTAATTTTGGCATATCAAATATACGTATATATTTTACTTTTTTTCAAAAAAGTAGGTAAAAACAACACAATAAGCAACCGGAGTTGCTGTGTTGAAAATTGTACAAATACTAGCAAAAAAAAACAGTGAAACTTATATAAAAAATTTCACTAACAAAGTGGAAATTAAATCAAAGAAATAAATGGATAGGTGTACAATAAGAAGAAAAATTACCTTTATTTTTGTGATAATAACAGTAATGCTGGAAATAGTAGACATCAGAAACTAGAAAGTTTTTAAATAAACAATAAATTATGATTTTACGATGTTCTTTAATATCCCTTTATTCTTAAATGTTCATTCAGCAAGGACTAGATTTCAAGATTTCTGCCGTTGATTATAATATTTGGCTGGTATGCAATTTTGTGACTTACTGAACGGAAACCAGTTTTAATCATTCATTCTATGTTTTCTTTAGAACAAAAATGAAAATATAAGTAGCGATTCTTTTTATACATTTTAACTTCACGCTATTATAAATGGTTTCTTCAATGACAACTTATTAGACTTAGGCAACTCCTCATACATTTTCCAGTAAATACTGTTGCCTGCCTATATTTTATTATTGATTTTTAATGATTATACATAATTTTCTTCAATTTAAGCGTGAAAAATATATAATAATAATAAATTAATGTTTTAATTGTATTATAAATCCATATACTTTTATTAAAACTAACATATATACTTTTTATTTACGAATTCTATTAAAAATTGTATTTGTCAGTATAGGCAGAAATACTCCTTTAATACCAAAATAAATTGGCGCTGCTGTCGCGCACGGAGCGAATACTGAATCACGTGATCAAAGATTTACTACATCTCATGTGCATCCGATGTGGATTC